GAAACATCTCAAGTCTCATCTGTCCCAGGAATACCTCTGCTAGCTTAATACCACTCCATGTTTCCTGAATGCTCTCAATATTTGAATGAATAACTGAATAGTAGTTTTATTGGGCCCTTGCTTTGCTTGGAAAATGTTGTGTAGCTCCTGCCCCAATCCTGCTTACACTTGTTACCAGGCGTTCATTGGAAGCTCAGCTTAGTCACACTTATGCCTGTAGTTGACTCCTTGACAGCAACTATGTTTGTAATTCTATTCTCCTCATTTTTATATCGCTTTGGACAAAAGAGTCTGCTAAATGAAATTAATATAAATGTAATCTATCTTATATTGTGTTGACTCATGTTTAAGTGCTTCTAAATAAACAGGCATGCATATTGTGATAAAAATGTGATATATACACATTAATACTGACTTCTTAGCCTCTTTCCTACCCATAAGCTCCCAGTTGTTCTTTTTCAGGTTTAGTACAACTAACACTGGCTACTGCACCTAATCAAAATAACAGAAGCACTTCTAATAACAGCAAACACTGCAGGAAATATATCTGAAGCACTGAGTATAATGTTGATGTACGTATGATTCACCCATTCATTTTCAGCACATAGAGCGTAATTTGTAATTCCAATGTAATTGCACAAAATTTCGGAGTTCACTGTATCTGTGCATGTGTTTTGTAAAACCACACCAAATGATATAAATGGAGGTCTGTTGCTTCCGTTTTCACACTCAGTAAATCAGGATGTATCCTCCCTCCTTGGATTCTGTTTTTCATTTTATCTGATTTTATCAGAATAATTCATTTTGTTGTATTCAGTGAGCCGCTTTAAAAGCCAAAGCACAAGTCATTGTAAAACACAACTTTACTTGACCGTTACCTACTGTCATAAACACACACATTCATTATCATCCAGCATCAGTTATAATAATGTAAGTCCTTCCACTTAATCAATTGCCCTCTATTACAAAGAACACTTTTCAACAAAGAGGGAAAATAAGCTTGCATGTAGTGAACCAATGAATTAATTGCCTTGTTATCCATTGTTGTAAACAGCAACATTATATTCGGTGTAATCCTTAAATGCAAATAAACCATCTAACCTTTCACAGAATTCTTAAAGTGTAAGGAATGCAGTCTTTAATATGTATTTCCATAGCAAGATGTTCAACATACAGTACCAGTCATGGAGTATGGACACACCGGCTTTCAGTCCATGTGTCTGTATTTTAGTTGTGTTATTTTACCTTATTGCAAAAGGCCTTAAGGCGATGAAGTATTACATATCAAAGAGCAAAATTATAACATTATAGCATGTTTTAAAGTGAAATTACTTTCGTTTTTATATATATGGTAAAGATAAAAATGGTCAGTAAATCACACTCAATAAGATAGTTAAATAAGTCATAATATCATGAAACGCAAAACACCATGAACCAAATCTGTCTTCACTCTTCCTCACTTAGCAGGATTTTATCAATAATTCTTTGATAGAAACAAGTTCAGATCCAATGCATTTATCGCTGAAATAAACAACCTTATTCAAAATAATAAATTGAACCATTCAGTTAAAATTCACATTTTATTGTGATTGTGTTTATTACATATATGACATTCAATTGGTTTGAACCATGAACATATTGTTAAACTTTTAGAAGCTAGGACTGTATGAGGAAGGTACCGGTAAGGTGGCACCTCTCTGGTGGCGTCGGTAAGAACACCAGGGAAGGCAGATGCAGTTCCAAACTTCACTGCATTCAATTACGCAGTACAGCATTACACTGGAGTTAACACAGGGTGTCCATTGGCTGTTACAGGTGCAATGACTTAGTTGTAGACAGGGTGTGCATGTGGTCTAAGGAAGGAAGTAATATTATATAAACAACTAAAACAATAAGAACATGGAGACACGTTCATCTAAATAACACAAATACAACCACTTCATACGATCTCTAATCATGAATCATATTATTCATATAACAGTACTAT